CGACCTCGTCTTGCCGCCACACCCCAGTGAATTGACAGCAGACCAAGTTCCTGGAAATCAGATTGAACAAGAACTAGCATCTGCGTTGGGCCCCAGTATCGTGGACACGGTGGAACGCCCAGAAGATACACCTACTCAACTCGACGGCGCTCACCTCGATGGCGCTCACCTCGATGGCACCCAACTCGACAGCGCTCAACTCGACAGCGCTCAACTCGATAGCGCTCAACTCGATAGCGCTCAACTCGGTGGTGCTCAACTCGATGGCACGGCATCGGATACCGCAGTTGCGCCCGAGACGTCTGCCGACATTGATTCGGATATGGCCACCGTGATTTCGAGCATCATGAATCACGCCGAACGTGTAGAGGAACAAGTCGTGATCGGTCAGCAACAGCTGGCGGATACCGCAAGTCCGGCCCCGAAAGGCATGGTTTTCGTCAAGGCCAACTCCCACCTGAAAACTCAGAGTTTGCCTATTTTGGACAACCTGGTATGTGAAACAATGTTCGAGACGCACTTGAAAATCAAGAACGAAAGCAATTGACATACCACTCCCCTATAGTCTACCCAAATCCTCTCGTTGCTTGCCAAGTCCTCGTACCAAGAAATTACCTCATTCGTTTCCGAGCCGGAGACGGAGAGTGGCCAAGCCTACGCTACCATGCGCTCGTTGTTCGACCACACGAAGAAGGTCTACTCTACCAAGAAGTCCTTTCTGTCTCCTACTGAACTAGAGCTTACTGAGCCGTCACAAGTTGATATCATTCGAAAGGCGAACCTGGCGTCCTTCGTCTCTAGCATCTTTGGCACACAGGAGATTGGATTTTCCGAACTCAATGACAACTTCCTGGATGTGTTTGTCCCCGAAGGCGGTCGTCTTCTCAAGGTGCAGGGTGCTTTGTTCCTGGAACTCAAGACTCAGGCTTTCATTGCGTCCATGAACAATTCAGAGCGAACCCGAACCGAGTTACTCTATGACCTCTTCCCAGATGACCTGGAACAACAACTTTTGGACCGCCGCCCAGGAACTCGCCAGCTGGCTCCCAGTGAGGCCGACTTTGTCAAGCGCGCCGGATCGCGCCGTGACATTCTACTTAGTGACGTCAACAACGAGGAAGCCATGAAAGCCTTGCCAGACAAATACCATTGGGAGGACTTCCTTCGAGACCTGAGCTCTTACATCACCAAGAATTTTGATACTATCAGCAACCAACAGGTCTGACTCCCCCCTACTCTTACCTTTACTATCCAGTGTGCTAACGGCGAGCCAGACGAAAAAGATCACAAAGGGTCGCCAGCCATCCTCATCAAATGGAGAATCTCAAGAACCTCCCAGCGCCCCCCTTCAAGGCCAATTCCCGGTCTCGACACAGCCACCGGATGTTCCCGTCGACCGTAACATGCACGGCGATCTTGTTGCTCGTGCGGCGCGTGCGGCGCAGATTGCCCTCCAAGGCCATGGATTGAGGCGCTCCCAACAGCAGCAGCAGTACCAGCAACAGCAATCTCAGCAGAACCAACAACAGCCACAACAGGTGCACCAGCCCCAGCAGCACCAGCCCCATCAGCATCATCAGCAACACACAATTCACCAGCCCCAGCAGATGCAGCAACAGCAGGCCCCTCAGCACGCACAGCCGCAGGGCGGTCAGATTTTGCATGGGTACTCTGCTGCTCAGCCGACGGGTCAGATGCCTCACCAGCAGACCCACCAGCAACCCTACCATCACAGTCCAGCGCCGTCTGGCTACCAGCACCCGCCCAGCCAGCTCACATTCCAGCCAAGCCCTCTTCAGGCCAATTTCCAGCAATACAGCCATGTGACCCCCGCGTCGATCCCGCGACCCAACTCGGCTGCTGCCAATCACGGATACATGCCCGGGATACCGCACTATTCTCAATCGCAGCCCACCCAGGTCCTCTATGAGCGGGCTCGCATGGCAGCATCTGCCAAGTCATCGCCTAGCAGCCGCAAATCCGGGTTGCCTAGCCAGCGTCGTCCCTGGACAACTGAAGAGGAAAATGCGTTGATGGCAGGTTTGGATCGCGTCAAGGGACCCCACTGGAGCCAGATCCTCGCCATGTTTGGCCCTGGAGGAACCATAAGTGAGGCCCTGAAAGATCGCAACCAGGTCCAACTCAAGGACAAGGCTCGTAACCTAAAGCTGTTCTTCCTCAAGAGTGGCATCGAAGTGCCCTACTACCTGAAGTTCGTAACGGGTGAGTTGAAGACTCGCGCCCCGGCCCAGGCTGCCAAGCGGGAAGCTCGCGAGCGGCAGAAGAAGCAGGGCGAGGAAGACAAGGCTCATGTGGAAGGCATTAAGGGTATGATGGCTCTTGCCGGCGCCCATGCTCAGCCAGTTGGTATGGGTCATGGGCACGATGCCATGTCTGCCTCCCCTGGACTGTCGCATGACCCCAATGTCCATTCCGCCTTTGACCAGACGGCGGAGCAGAACCTGATGCAGACCCTCGGTCAAGAGGTGCATGGAGAGTCTTTCGGACAGCCCCAGCACCATCATCACCAGCATCACCCGCACCCGCATCATCAGGATCATGTTGATCCGAATATGCATTTGGGCCAGTGAGGAGATCGAGGTTCATGCTCAAACACCAATTAGCTTCACTTCTCGATCCTGCTTCTTTCCTCCCTTGATCGAGTTGTATTATTTCTCACGGTTCTTTCTTTTTTCTTCTTCGCCGGGGATTTGAGCGTTTCACTGTCTACGACTGTCTATTCCTGTGATTCTTTGGTGGGATTGTATGAGGGTTGATGCATATGGTGCGAATGGAGCACGAAGCTGTAGGAGTATCTTGCGGATTGTACAACAATAACTGAATAATCATGTTTTCTTACTTATTTTCTGTGTTTCTGTGTTTCTGTCTTTCTGTCTTTCTTCCTTTCTCACTGAATAATACTAAAGGGAGGACAAATAAGTGTTCAGTCATAATGAAAGTGCCTAGCTTATGCTTGCCAGTTGGTGGTCCAGTAGCAAGCAGTCGGGCCGAACGCGGCCAAGAGAGACAGAGACTATGCTTTGCTACTCCGCTCCAACCACCGCGGCAGTTGATAATTCAATTCTATCCCAGTTCACTATCCCATTCATTCACTTCCCCCAGAAAACCCCGGTATCGCCTCCAATCCCAATCGGGCGCCGCGATAACACAATTGCAGGGATTATCTTCGAACTTGTATAAATTGCTTCAATACTGCTGACCTTGCATTCACCGCCGACGCCTTCCCCTCTCACCCATTGGACTGACTCCCTTGCGCTTTCCCAATAGCCACTCCCAACCATGGCCGAATCATCGTCATCACAGCCTGCTGTTCCGCCTTCATCGCACCCTCCTCCTCAGTCATCATCATCAACTGCAGCTTCCTCCTCCACGCCTGTCCCTCCTCCATCCAGCCAACCCCCTGTCACCTCACCCGGCACGGTAGTACCTAAACAAGAACCCGACGTCGCCGATAGCAGCACCAATAAGGTCCTGGATGCTCCGACTGAGCAAGAAGACGTCGACATGACCAACGCGCCCAGCACCAACGCCGGTGCCAACCCGGCTGCGACCAGCGCTGCCGACGATGTGGGCAATCCGGTTCCCGCGCCGACCTCCGTGGACGCAGTTGCCGCCGCCGCAGCGCCGTCGAAGAAGGAGACCAGTCTCCGGGAGTTTCTAGGGAAGATGGATGAATACGCACCTATTGTACGTTTTGGCTTTTTTATTCCGGCTGCTCCCCTCAGTTTTGCTTCTACTTTCCAACGTTCAATCATCCATCCCGCCGGTCACTCACTATTTCATTTCCATAATATCAATCCAATCACGACTGTGTTCCGCCTTCTAACGATGGAATGAAATTCTAGATCCCCGACGCCGTAACAGCACACTACCTCACGCTGGCGGGCCTCCCACCTCCCGGCAACGGCCCCAACCAGACCCCGCCGCACCTCGCGCGCCTCCTCGCCCTCGCCACCCAGAAGTTCATCGCTGACATCGCGGCGGACTCGTACCAATACGCCCGCATCCGTGCGTCCAACAGCTCCTCCGCCAACAACCCGATGGGCAGTTTAAACGCCGCCTCGGGGCTGGGCATGCCCGGTGGTGCCGGGGGTGTCGGGTCGACGGGCGCGGCGACGGGGCCGTCGGGTGGAGAGGCAGGCAAGGGGAAGGCGGGCACACATCTGGGCATTCAGAGGCCTGGGTTTGGCGGTGGAGGGTCCGGAGGCTCGGGACAAGGTCGGACAGTGCTCACCATGGAGGATTTGGGCATGGCGGTTGCGGAGTATGGGGTTAGTGTCAAGAGGGGGGAGTTCTATCGGTGAAGGGGGCTTGATGATGGTCGGCCGAAGACAGGCGTGGAACAGTGGGTTCCTACATTAAAAGCGGGCTTGATTGGTGAGGGGATCTTCTTACGGGGGTCCCGTTTGATACGACTTTCTCTTCTCTTTTGAGGGCAAGGCTGGCTGGGTTGCTGGGTTGATGCGATGCCATGCTTGATTTTCTCTTCTTGCAGTCCTCCTCAGTCGGGGAACTCTGGGTTGTCTGTTTGATGGCGTATTATTGCGGCGTGAGGGGGTGGGGTGTTTCCTGAACGATAGATATCCTGCATGCTGGGCCTTGGGCCTGCACGAATCGGAGTATGGGTGTTTTTCTTTTGAACTCGTGGTTTCCTTTTTACATGTATATGCAATGCCAAATAGTACCCTTACGATTGTCTCTTAGTAGCACACTTTATGACCTTGAATCTTCATGTGTCATGGATAGATAATACATAATATACATAGCCAGCCTCATCTTTCCTATCTCTATCTCTTTTACCGAGACCCTCCTCCAGCATAACAAGCACAAACTAGGAAAACGCCAAAAACAAACTACAATGCAACTTCAGTGCAACTTCAGTGCCAACTTGCACAGAGCATATCTCCCACTCGCCAAAGATGAGAGGTATCAGTTGCGCAAGTTCGCAAAATGCCCAACCATAAAAAATGAAACAAAGGTATCGATCCACAACCCCAGACATGGCCCCCATGCCTCCCGCAAAATAGAAACAAGATCTATTTGTTCTTCGACATCTTGTACGTGAAACGCTTGCGAGTTCTAGACACGACCCCAACCGTTAGCACGCACGCACTCTGCTTTCGTAACCCTTTATCCTTGGCCCGATCCGCTCAGCACCCATGACATCCCCAATCCTGACCCCAACCCTGACCCTCAACCTCACCCCCTCCCCAAAAACCAACCCAATCAAACAGAAAATGCACAAAGAGAGGGGCAAAAACATACGGCACGAACTCCCCCAACTTCCGGCCCACCATCTCCTCGGTAATCAGCACGTCGTGGTAGGTCTTGCCGTTGTGGATCGAGAACTTCAGCCCGACGAAGTTCGGCAGGATGGTCGCGGCGCGTTTCTGCGTGCGGATCGGCGGCGTGCCGGGGGGAGCGGGCAGTTTGCGCGGGAGGGGGAGACTATATTTTTTGTTAGGACGGGGGGTTAGTTGTTGTTGTTGGGTGCGATGGTTCGGGTTCGGGTTTGGGATTCGGGGGAGGGGTGGTGGGTGCGGTGGGTTCAGGGCAGCAGCAGCAGCAGCAGCAGCAGCATTAGCGATAGCGATAGCAGTCTGCTGGGACCCCTATGCGTAGACGTTGCGCTGGGTTTTGGAGGGTGAAACGTACGGGACGATGTTGGGGCCTGGGAAATGGAGATGTTAGTGTTTGAGTTTGGGTGGATGAGCTGGTGAGGGTAGGGATTGACTGACCTTTCCAGACCGAGCGGCCGAGGAGGGCTCGCGTGGGGAACATCTTGAATGACTGGCTTCCTTGTGGTGCAGGTGATTTGCTCCTGGCTGCGAGAAGGGGAAAATATTGGTGTAGCCGGGCGGCGCTGGGCTTTGGATAGTTGCAAATCGGCCGGCGGAGGTTTCGGCGGAGGTGATTATGTAAGATCTTGCTTGGGCCCCCGCCCGCATCTATATGGCGGGACGGGGGAGGGTCGCTGGGTTTTGCTTCTGTATTATTCGGATTTTAGGAGGAGAGAGATATTTGATACTGGGTTTACTTTGTTGGGTGTGGTTTGAGTTTGCGATGGGTTTCCATTTTGTTGATGATAAATGCTCGGGTGTTTGTTGTATGGTGGTAAATGGTGCTATCCTAGAGCCGCCAGCGACTGTAGTGGTTTTCAAACTGCAACTACTCTAACAATTACTCCAAGGCAAGCTCCTCCAGGATCTGGGTCAAGCTCCTGATTCCTTTCAGCACGTTCTCGTCCGGACCCTGGCCAGGGGTCCAGCTCGCATGCGCAAAGTCGATCAGCCGCAGGTCATGCACTTTAGGAGGGTCCTCTTCGTCCTCGTCGAGGTCCAGCTCCCCCAGCTCTGCGACCTCGGGCCCGAGGTTGATATTGATAGCCTGGTGAGACACGCTGCCTTGGCCAAGGGGTATATCAACTACCTGAAAAGACCCCTCTGAAATCTCGAACTCGACATTCTCGTCCTCTTCATCGTCATTTTCCTCTTCTCGCGCCGGTCGGGGCTCCTGCTCCTCTTCCAACGCCTTTTCCATGGCGTCCGGGTCACCTTCGTAGACAATCAACACACTCGACGAGTACATGCGACTTTCCTCGGACTCCAGAACCTCCTGCACCTGTTTCAACTCCTCGGCCAACCGTCGCGCAATCAGCTGGGACCGATCCACAGCCCCGGCTTTGGCCCCGGCGAGGAACGTCCGGAACCCGTCCTTGATGTTGCTCTCCGTGAGCGAGCGGCCGTACCATTTGTCGTAGCGCTTGTAGCCATCCGCCTCGATGACCTGCCCCTTGGCGCCCTCGGCGCCCTCGTATTTCGTCGCATACGGGTCAGTCCGGCTCCCTTCATCGGTCTCCCCACTCACGCCCGTCCAGACCTTCATCCCAGCGATCCGGAACCCCAGTGTGGAGCTCGTCGTTTCCTTGGACACCGCGTCCAGCTTCACGCGCTTCGAGGGCGGCGCATCGTCCGCCCAGAGCCGCGCACCCAGCTTCACGTCCAACACATTGGGGCGTTTGAACCCCGCGGCCACATTCTCCAGCACGATCGAGATACCCGTTTCGAGTTTCTTTCCATTAGAAGGGACCCACGACGACTCCGCGGCTGCTGCCGGGCTGCTTAAGCTGGCCGTTTCGGGGGCTGCTGTCACTATAGGGGTCGTTGTCGCTCCGGCGGCTGGGGCTTGAGATGCGACGGTGGCCGTCGGGGTATCCGACGCGGAGGAATATTCCGTGCCGGGCAGCAAGATGGCGCCGGCTTGCTGGGCCGCGGCGAGGGCCAGAGGCTGCTGTTCATTCGCGGAAGTTAACGTGCCGATATACGTGGGCAGGAATTCTTGGAATGCCGGGTGCAGGGCGCTGGATTCGTAGAACGCGACTTCTTGGGCGGTGCAGGGCTTTGCGATGAAGGTGCCGGATACGGTGCACTGGACGCCTTCGCTACAGCAGAGGTTTTTGTTAGTAGATTGGCCGAAGCTTTTATTCAAGAATGGCTGGCGAGGATTAAGGTGGTAGAGTTGGAGCGATTTCGTGTTGTGTTGGTTGCGACAAGGGAGAGGGATGCGACAGGGAAATGTGTTGCGGCACACTCACTGTCCGGCGGCGGCATGGTCGAAAGCCACGAAACTGTCGTGGTCCAGCTTTGCGGTCATCGCGCTCTCTGATCGCGAAGATGATTGCATGTTGAGGGAGATTTCGAGCACAGTAAGGGAGGTCAATCACTGTCCAACAGAGACCGATGGAGTTTAGACGGCATTCCGCATGAGTCACGGAAAGGGACGGAGATTCAGCAGGCGGGATGTTGCAGGGTCGGTGGGTTTTGGAGAAGATGAGAGGGAGGAAGAAATCCTCCAACAGTGGGTCAAGGAGGGAAAGGAATATATTCCTGTTAGAAGCAAACAAATGCCTAGCAGGGGGGAAGGGGGGAAAAGAAAAGGAGAGACAAGCCACAACAGGCGGGTTGGTTGGTTTTGGTTTTGGTTTTGGTCTTGGTTGGCACTCTCAATGAGAGAAGTAAATGGAAAAATGTCGGGGAAGCCGATCTGAACCCCCCCAAACAAGGCTGAGGGGCATCGATCATCATTTAAATATTATTAAAAATCGCATTACTGGGATATTTAACCACCAAAGAAAAAAAGTCAGCCTGGAATTTTCCCAGCCTGGCTGATACGAAGCGCTTTAGCATAAGATCGTCTCTTATGCTGACTGGATCTGGTGGCACAAGGCAAGAATAAGTTAATCTCGCCTGCTTTCTATACTTCTGAATGGTCTGTCGTCTGCCGCTCAGCTCTTGTCTGGTGTCTACATTCTCGACTGCCTGATATTGTGTCGATTTAATTCGCTGCATCTGCTTGGCCTGTACTTTAAGCATCACATGGCCACTGACTATCTGCATAATTATGCATTTTGCTGGCGATGTACTGGACTACAGAGAGTAGCAGTGTGCTAACTACCTGTCTTGAGGTAATGTGTATAGCGCACACACTTGTCCTTGACTTGAACACAATCATCTCAAAGTTAATCATATTATTTAGAATCATATTATTTGAATCTTACTTTGACCTTACCTTACTACAGAATGGTTGAGTATCTATCAATGTTGCATCTTGTCTCAGCCTGGAAATTCATTAGAAGTGCCCAAAACTGCCAGTCTACAAACAGCCAGAGGCAACCTGCATGGACAACAACCTATTCACTGAGGGTGTTCTGAGGGAAGCACGTCTTGCCCTTTCCTTCATTGCAAAATGACTGCGAGCAATCCTTCTCCTCCCTCATGGTTCTCGTTCTCCTTCTCATCAGCTCCACCGTTCACCCTCATTCTCTTCCTTCACCCTCATTCTCTTTCTTCACCCTCCCTATCTCTTGTCGTCTCTTCATTTCATAACCTTCCTCTTAGCACACTGCCTTAACACCTTCCCAATTCAATATTTGAAATGGAAAACAAGGAAGAAACTTCGACTTCTACTCAGCCTCTTACCTCAAACTCACTGAAGCCGGCGGAAGATGCTCAAGCTCAGTTGGCCTCGGACATGTCTAACACCTTGAACCTCGAATCGACTGATCCAGTCTCCACACAGGCACAGGCCGATAGCATCGGGGAACAAGAAGCTTCAGCGTCTTTTGACAATATCAACAAGCTCAAGAAGAAGAAAAAGAAAAGCAAGAAGTCCAGGAGCAAGCGTGGCCTGGTTTGTCTATGAGAGTGGGTCGATTGCTGAGGACTGAGCTGACCGTAACAGGGCAAGCCCACTGGTTTTGAGGAATACTACGTCGATGCTCCCATGACACCAGCTGAGTTTGAGACTGAGCAGGTGATATACAACCCGTATGTGATTTTAGCATGTATGTTGAATTACTCTCAGCTAACCATGCGTCACAGGTCTCGACCCATCTATCAGTAAGCCTTTCATGCCGATGGAACACTCGAGATGCTGATATGTGATAGTCGGATTGAAGATGCCTTGCAACGCTACCAGAAGAATCGTCGCCTGGAGAATTTCCGAAGGGATATATTTCTGAAGTACTTGGCTTATGGGGGTGTGGACATCTCTCCGAGAATGTTCGCAGGCTCCGATCAGAAAGATCTCAAGGACCTCGACAGCGAGCAGATCCTTCAGGCTAGAACTCAGAATAGCATCCCAAGGGACACAGCAAACCTCATCATCGATTTCGATGAGGTGGTTCGGGGCTATCTGTAAGCACTGACCTGACTCAAAGTGACTTGTCGCTGACACCGAACAGGACCTCCTACTTCCCATCCTACTTCAACCCCGAAACCGAAGACATGGTCAAGCTGGGTACGGTCACCATTCGCAACTTTCTGTCCTACCTACTTTATCATGAGGTCTGCCCAGAATACAAGGACAACATCGATCAGGCCAGAAAGTCGTGCGATATCGCCGCCACGGAGCTTTGGAAGAATCAGCAGTTCATGGTCAAAGGGCCGGGCCATTTCAACAAAGCCTGTTCTACGCTCTTCGGGGGCCACCTCTATGACTATTATGCTGAGGAAGACGACGAAGAGCGCTCATGGGCGGACGGCCCTCCCATAACTAGAGATGTGGCGGGCAAAGTCGTGAGATTTGCCCTCGCTGGTGCAGGATCAGATCAACTGGCTATTGACTTCCGAGAGTTAGGTCATAAAGATGAACTAAGATCTAAACGTGTAGATGATATCCACGGCTTTGAGATCATGGTTATCCACCCTCCAAGTGATACTGTCCTTGACTTTTACAGAATGCACGCCCCCGATCTCGTTCCTGTTGGCCGCATCACCGCGATATCTTACTGGGACCCAGCAAAGCCGGCATGTGATATGACCCCGGAACAGCAGCAGCAAGCCACGACGCCGGTCATTTTCAGTTTCTTTGTGGAGCAACCTCTGCTGCAACTCTGCTATCCGGGTATGAAAGTGATCACACCGGTGTGGAGGATGAACTGTGGGCTTGATTACTTTGAAGAGACATTCGCCGTCTACGGCACCATCTACACGGTTCTTGCAAATGACCTTATGCTGGGGTGGAAGAAACCACGGCCAGTGAATGACACTGCAGACGAAGACGAATTGGAGGCGGATGAGGATGATTCTTCTGAGCAGGGTGATAGGATTGCGGATGTGCAGGATGTACTCTAAGCACATTCCAAGCGAGTGTCAAGCTTGGAATTTACAGTAGCAGTTTAGCCATGCATGAAACTTACATAGCCGACTAGCTCAGAGAATAAGAAGGCATGAATATTGTTCCGACCCTTCATATAGAAGCCTAGTATAACTATCTCGAACGAACATACACTCATTATGATCAATAGCGACAAGCCTAAGACGACTTCAGAAGCAGTTTTCCGGTAGTCTTACGGCCTTCCAGATCACGGTGTGCCTCGGCGACATCTTGCAGAGGATAGACCTTATGGACTCTAGCCTTGAGCTTGTTAGACTGGAGCAGCGAGAAGAGCTCGTTGACGTAGAACTCAAACTCCTCGCGAGTCTCGATGTAGCCGAACAGCTGAGGTCGAGCAACCTTGACACACTTGGGGGAGAGCTTCCTGTAGATGGACATGTATTAGCCATGACGGACATTGCAACTCGGAGATCTCATCAATCCTTACTGTAGAGGCAAAGGCGGCACCGGACCACTGGCATTACCGAACCAGACGATGGTACCCTTGCGCTTCACGGCCTCCAAGCTTCCCTCCCAGGTGTCCTTGCCGACGGAGTCGAAGACCACATCCACGCCCTGACCGCCCGTGATCTCCTTGACCTTCTGGGGCCAGTCCTTGCCCGCCTCACTACGGTAGTCGATCACCACATCCGCGCCGAGGCTCTTGGCCAGCTCGCACTTCTCCGGACCCCCGGCCGTCCCGATGACCTTGGCGCCGATCGACTTGAGCACCTGCGTCATGAGGGTGCCCGCCCCGCCGGCGGCGGCATGCAGCAGCACCCACTCGCCCTGCTTGACCGGGTAGGTCTCCTTGGCCAGGGTGATGACGGTCAGGCCGCTCAGGAACGCAGCCATCACGTCCTCGTCGCTGAGTCCCTCGGGGATCTTGACCGTCTTGGCCATGGGCACGGCGGTGTACTCGGCGTAGCCGCCCGTGCTGAGCCAGGCGACCCGATCCCCGACCTGCAGGTTGTACGGGTTGGGCCCCGGGCCCAGCGCCACGATGGTGCCGGCGCCCTCCCGCCCGAGGATCTCGGGCTTCGCGGACGGGTACAGACCGGTCCGGAAGTACGTGTCGATGTAGTTCACGCCCGAGATGTGGTTCTTGACCAGCACTTGGCCCTCCTGGGGACTGGGCACGGGCTGGTCGGACTTGAACTCGAGGACCTCGGGACCGCCTAGCTTTTCGACCTGGACGGCCTTCATGGTCTGTGGGACGGACATGGTGGTGTTGGTGCGGGTGGGGAGGCTGATGATGGAGGGGGATGCGGGTCGAAAGTGAGCGTTCACAGCTGCGAGACGGAGCGCCGGGGATGAGACAGACGCAGTAGGCGTGGCGGTGCGGAGTAGACGAGGGATGATGCGATTGAGGGGCATTGGAGGGGGAAAAGGATTGAGAGGCAGGGTCGGGGTGATCGCTGGGTTATATTCAACGTACTTCAGTACGTGCTTGTCAGAAGACTGACAACACGAACACTATCACTAATCTTTTCTCGTGCGGCTCAATTCCGAGATGCTTGTTTCTGTCATGGTCTCGAAGGGTCGCGTTTACTATCATTAATAATTCTGGTTCCTTTACCCCACACCATTCCACCTATCGTTACGTCTACGCTTTGCGATGAGGTGGTTTCCCCCCCTCAGTTACCGTCAATATTTCGCTAATAAGTGCTAGAAGCAAGAGATCGCTACCTGGCAACTCTTTCTTCCTTGTCTCATCTCGCAATTCGCAATTCGCAGCTGTGTTCCTCGTTCCTCGTTCCTCGTTCTTAAATCTTCATCCGACGGAGTGACGCCATCGGAATCATTGCCGAACCGTCGGATATCCGCGGCCTCAGGCCGATGATCGCTCCGAACTGCCGACGGCATACCTTATGCAGGCATAGCTGAGTCATGTATTCAAGCATAAATCCCCGCATGGCGGTCTTGGGTCTTACCCTTTCTGGAATACCCCGTTGTCGTGCCCGCCCGCAGTGGAACTGAACTACTCAATAGATCGATCGATGATGCTTTGCTCTCCTCCTACAACAAATCCACGATGGAGTCATCGTACTCCTTCTGACAGTGGCCCTGCATCACCGTCAGACGTATATCCCAACCATGCAACCCATCAAGCCAGCACACCCCTCCCCAAGCCTTCGCCTTCTTTTCGATGCAGCTTGCCACCCATTCCCTCTTCTCACCGTCTTTCCAGCTGATATCATCGCATCGCTTGCCGCAGATGGGATGCTCGTTGGGTGATGCGCACCATACGACCAGCATCTACAGGTCAAGAATGCTGCAGCCCATCCCAATGGTGGCATATGTAGCCAAAGGCGCCCAATACAGGCCATGATCGTGTGTGGCTTTGCTTAAGCCCTGCTCTACTAGTAGCCTGTCATGCCTGTCAGGCCAATAACCATCCCTCTAGTTCGCCGCCTGTGCCTTGAGGATGACGCCTTTCCCGCAGGTTTACCTGCCCCTAGTCGAACAATTGGCACCTAAACCGACGACAAAGGAGGGGTGGGACAAATCAACAGCCAGCTTCGCCTCTACGCATGCACGATCAAGCCATTCTCCTGTCCGGGGATCAGAATGGTTTCATTTTCAACGACTCCTGTTGACATGGCTCAGGCAGGACCATTCATTCCCAACGCTTGACATATGGCCACGATCGTCGTGTTTCAGCGTCCGGGGGGGTTGATTCGCTCGTGGTTAACGCCCAATCTCTGGGGCAGGATTCTGATAGGGCCAGTACCCCGGCCAGAGGCGCTGCCCAACCGGGTTCCCATTGGGGTCGATTTACTTTATATAGTCTCTCCGTATTCTCTGTGCTTGTTTTCTTCGTCCCTGGAAGTGTACATCAGGACTACTAACCATACTTTCGCCTAATACTTAATTCCAACCGCTCCTGGAAGGTTTTCAGAGACTGCCCCAGTCTTCTGCTCACTAGTTGCTCCAAATTTTTCTGCGCCGTTCGGCCCCATTTCAACTCAATTGCTGATTTCCTGACTCCGCCCGGTGCTTGTGTGCTTTTTGTTTACTTTTGATTGTTTGCGTCCGCTGGATCCCTTGCTCTTTCCTCCAGAACGTTTCTCGCGTGAGTCCGACGTTCGACGGATTTATAATGCCAACAGCCAGGAACCTGATTCTGATCCGACGTGCCACCGCAGGATAAATCCCAGGAGTAACGCCCTCACACCGATCGGAGCCTTGTATTCGACTGGATTAAAAGTTTTTTACTGTTCTGATTTTTGATTTTCCCCTCGTCGCCATGTATCTCAGGACCAAGGCGCACTTGCGCTGGCGCAAGCAGACCCAATGGCCACCTGCGCCTTCCGTGGAAGACGAGACGGTATCCCTCTCTCGTGAACTACACGGGATGACCAAGCTAGGAGAAAAGCCCGGAGTAGAGGGTGTCTGCTCTCGGGGAACTATTGACCAACATCCAGTGATCGTGGATGTGCTATCCTTCTCCTCAGTTGTTCACACGACAATCTATGACGACTCAGTCCGCGAGAGCGGCTCTGATGACAACGCAGGGCCACCAACGCCGTCAGCGGAGATAGAACATGACCCAATGCTCTACATTGTCGAGGATGATCAGGTCGTGCCTCTGTCGACTCCATGGGCTTCTTCAGATAAGGTTCGCGGACCTCCACCCTCGCTAGCACGGCCGCAGCAACTCCGCATCCCGAGCAAGACCCTCGATGGCCGCCCTGGTGAAGCGAAAGCTAGTACCCAGAGGGACAGTAATCCCAAGAAAGATATGGCCCAAGGACCCCGGACTGGCTCTGTGACGTCCAAGACGCCCACCAAAGCGATTGAAACTACGACCACGGCATCACCGCCTAGCTTGAAGCGAGCGGGCAGTGCGAAGCCCAGTTCATCTGCCAAGCAGGTGACTAGGCCTCCCATGCCGAAGCCGGGCCATCAATCTGATTCGGCTGCTATTGGCGTGAAAGGCTCCTCGGCTAAGCCTCCGGCCTCACCTACAGAAAAGTCTTCCACCGGACCTACTTTGGCTGAGAGGATAGAGGAGAAATTGCGCCAGCGGCAGGAACTTCGCGCATCGCAAGAGGCCTCACAGAACAACGATCAGAATAGTCCGCCACCTGCAGCTGCAGCTGCAGCTGCCCAACCGATCGCCACCGTTGAGCAAGCAGGCATCAAGCCATCCATTACGTGCCCTAATGGGTGCGGCGCGCCACAATCTGACCAGCCGATCCCTCCCAAGTCTTCATCGACGGCAAAGGAGTCCACTGAGCAAGAGAAGAGTGAAGAGGATCCTTTCTCGGCCTCATTTAATGCAGCGCTGGCTTCTGAGGCCCCAGCGCGGCCTTCGGTCGGCAACAGGCCGGATGGACGATCCCACTCTTCAGACAGGGCACAGTCGGTGTCCTCCCACACGCCCAGCCGACGTGCTGTGTCTTTCCTGGATGACACGTTACAGAGGCCTGTGTCACCCGATGAAGACCCCGAAGATGCTTACCAAACTGGAAAACAAGTTGGTCGACGAAGCTCTTCGCAGGGTGCCGTGCGCAGAAGTTCTCCTAAGCCGCAGTACTTTCTGTCGCCTTGCCCTCGGTCAGTTGCTGTGGCAGGATATCAGGACTGGCATACCGTGAAGGGAATCCCTCACTTGGATATCTGTCCATCCTGCATGAAACAGATGCGCAAGTCCCGGTTCCGAGATTTCTTTGTCCTAGCGAGCCCCCGACCTCGCGAAGAGAAGGTTCGCTGTTCCATGAGTGAGCCGTGGACGCGCTTGGCATGGATGCAGACACTCAAGAAACATCTGGACCACCTGGATCTGCTCCTGCAGATCACGCGGCCACCGTCAGGCAGCAAGCCTTGCCCGGGACGCACTATCAGTGACCAGTACTGGTACCGTGTCGTGGACCCGGACACCGACATGTATCTTCCACAGTTCAACGTATGCCACTCCTGCGTTCGCAACTTGAGGACTCTGATGCCGCGACACCGGGAGACATTCAAACGCAGTGCCACCAAGCAGGAGAGGGCGTGTGACTTTGTGACTGACAGCGCTCGGTTCGTCCGCTATATCGACTGCCTGGATATGGCCGCCAACCGAGCCGAGCTGGAGCATGCGGTGCGTCCGGACATCCGCGAGTTCCTGTCCTATGCGCGGCGCAAGGTAGTGCTTCGAGACTGCCGGCGGGACCGGCAGGTTCTCAGCACCTGGCACTACATGCCGCAGCTGCCTGAGCTCACGGTGTGCGAGGACTGCTACGACGACGTGGTGTGGCCGCTGGTCAAGGCCAAGCTGCCGATTGCGCGCAAGTTCTCGACCACGATGCGGCTTCTTCCCGGGGAAGGCCCGTCGCGCTGTCGCGAGGCGAGCTGCCAGCTTTACTCGCCGCGGATGCGGATGAAGTTCCAGGAGGCGGTGCAGCTGGACGACCTGACGTATCTGAAGCTGGTGGCGCTGCGACGTCGGGAGGCCGAGCAGCGGTACCGAGACCGCCAAGCCGAGCTGCTGGAGGATGCCAGTCGGGGGTATGAGGTTGAGAGTGAGATGCGGAAGAACGTGGAGGAGTGGAAGCGATGGGAGTAGCCGGATGAGGGAGGGGGGTGTATCTTTACTGTTATATTGTTTGTGCTTCAGGACCAGCCTGTACGGTAGACTTAGACTATATACATGTATCACCTCTGTGCAATAGTGCAACAGCAACAGCAACAGCAACCGTGCCACCAAAAAGCAGCCCCGTAGTGAGCCCCCCCCTAGGTACTAATCTGCTTCGGCAGTTGACTCTGCTCCCCCAACTCCACCAACTCACTCAGCGTCACCACACGGAACCCCCTCCTCTTCAACTCCGGCAACACCCGCTTCAGCATCGGCACCGTCCACCCCCTCCGATCATGACAGACAATCACACTGCCCGACCGCACCATACTGAGAATATGCCACGCATTGACCCGGGGCCAATTGATCTGCGCATCATGCGGGTACACACTGCCCAGCGCAATCCGCAACCCCAGTCTGTGGATGAGCACCCGCATCCGATCCGAGAAGAACCCGGACCCCGGCCGGAACCATTTATATTTGGACTTGGCCGTCGCCTTGCCTTCCGCTCCCTCCCCTGGCCCCCGTTCCCCCGAAGCCGAGGCCGAAGCCACCTGATCCTCCACCCGCTCCAACCAGCCCTGCACGCCCCTGACCTCCGCCTCCAGCACCGCATCGCTCAGATCCCGGGACGGGCGATCCGACATCGCATGATTCGCCAGCTCCATGCCCTGCAGCACCAGCTCGCGCAGCATGGCCTCGCCATTCTTCCCGTCGGGCCCGATCCCGGCCACCGGGATCTGCGCCCCGATCACGAAGAACGTCGCGCGCGCCTCGTTCGCCCGCAAAATCTCGAGGATCTGCGGGGTAAACGTCGACGGCGCATCGTCGATCGTCAGCGCGATCGTCGGGGGGGTGGATGGCGGGAGCGGCACGTGGAACGTGGTGTCGGGCCAGCGGTGCTGGAAGTATCGGATCAGCAGGTTCGGGGGCCGGTAGATGGTGTAGGCCGGGAGCAGGATGAGGCCGCTGATCAGGAGGAGGAGCGCGAGCACGGCCATCTTGAGCACGCGCCGCGTGAGCAGGTGCGTGCGGTGCGGGCGCGGGGGCAGGTCTTTGTCTTTGTAGTTGGTCGTCGTGTAGCCGTAGGGGTAGATTGGTGGGCGGGAGAGGGCGCGCGAGCGGGCGCGGGTGCGCGTGCGCGTGCGGAGCGGGAGCGGGAGCGGGAGGAGCGTTGTCACTGGTCCCGGGAGGGTGGAGAGGAGGCGGCTGAGGAGGCGGGTTAGGTGGTTTGTTAGGTGGAGGCGGGGCATTTCTTTTTTGGTGGTGGTGGTGGTGGTGGTTGGTTGGAGAGGGGGGTTAGGGAGGGGGTTGGTGGTTGGTTGTTTGTGGTGAAGTGTCGTGGCGGTGGTGGTGGGTGCTGGCGAAATGAGAGACGGCTGGTGTAGCTGGAATGGAAGATCCTAGGCCATTGTCTTGGTGGTTGGGCTGGTTCGAGCAGGTAATGAGTGTGGGTTGTAATGTGAGGGTTGTTGGTTGTTGATGGGAGAGGAGGGAGAGTCTAGGCAGGAGGTGAAGTGGAAGTCAGGTGCTATCGCTGCATTGTTATCGTACTTATCAATCAACACTAACCGCTTTCACTACGATTAACCCACCAACCCGACCACCTCGCCCGGCCATTTCTTCCCCCACACCAACGCCCGCGGCGGCACTCTCCCCCCCACCGGCGCCAACACCTGGATCTTCCTCCTCTCGTTGTTCACATCCGCCACATAGAGGAACCCCATGATACTCGCATCCCGCACATCCGCCACACTGGCCGTCGTCGGCGCGTGCGTGATCGCCAGCAGCGAATTGGCCAGCCCCGTGGGCGCCGGCGGGAGCAGCTTCTTCAGCGGCACATTGGCGCCGCTGCCCGTCTCCGCCGTGGCACTCGACGGAGCATCCCCGAACCCGGGCAGAACAGACGTTGCACTACTGTCCTCCTGCTTCTGCTGATTCTGGCTCGAGTCCGCCTCATTGCCTCCTCCAGGGAGGAACGAATCGGTGCCAAATGACGCCGGGTCATATTCATCCTCATCCTCCTCCGGGGCAGCGATGGTGTAATTGTATATCGACAGGGCGTTGAGATCCAGCTGCTGCGCGTGCGGCGACAACGTCACATTCTTGGACGACGCGGCCAACAGCGGCAGCGCCCCCGACGCGGCGGACGGGATCTGGTCGCCGAAGAAGTAGGTGCGGATCTGCGACTCGCGGACGGCCTTCATAAACGCCGCGTCGCGATCCACACATCCCCCAGACTTGGACAGCTTGATCACGGAGATGCGCTCATCCGACGCCACGGCGGACGCACTGGCCGTAGGCTTGTTATCAAACTCCTTCATCATCGCACTGTAGAGTCGTTCGGAGCCGAGCACCAAGATCGTCGTAACTGTATCACGCCCCCATCACATCAGTAAATGTCCCTAGAAACCCCCACGACAACAAATCAAACTCACTAGCAAACTCCGTCACAATATGCTTGATCAAATCCACATTCCCGGCCTTACTCTGACTGAGAATCCCCGGCGTGTCCACAATGATTCCCGTCTCCCGGACATCCTCATCCTCAGCCATGCGGCCCATGACCGAGACCGCCAGCCGCGACACGATCGCCTTGTACACGGAGCCCTCGGCCTCGAGCGGGCTCGCCATCGGGTAGAAGTACACCAGCGGGACCTTGACGGGCACCGCGCTGGGGCCGGACATGGGGCTGGACCCCCAGCCCTCCTCGACGTCGATCATCGTGCGGAACGCGGTGGCCGTCAGCGTGCCAGGCACGCTCAGCATCCCCTCCGTGGGGTCGAGGTTGACGACCACCGGCTGGCGCCCGACCTTGGTGGCGTACGCCGTCAGGATCTTCGCCAGACTCGTCTTGCCCGCGTCCTCGGAGCCCAGGAGCAGCACCCGCGGCCCGTCCCTGCCCTGCGCCTTGGCCTGCCGCCGCATCGTCTCCAGCGCAAAGTGCACGTTCGCGTATTCCACCATCGGCGTCTCCTCCGCCGTGTACTCGCTCTGGCAGCCGCCCGCGCCCAGGCCGCGCCCGCCCGTCGTGCGTATTTCGTTGCCGTTGCTGCTACCGTTGCCGCCGCCGGGCGCCAGGCTGTCCGGCGTCGCGTAGGACTCGCCGGCGCTGACCTCGAGCATGCATCCGTGCCATGTGTAGATCGCCGCTTTCGTGCCGGTGAATGTGTACGTCTGGGCGGGGGCGAGTTCCGTGCCGAAGAGTTCGGCGGTGCCGGTGAGGAGCTAGTTCTCGAGGTCAGTCAGTCAGTTGCTGGAGGTCAATTGAGAACCCAACGAAATTCTATCGAGCATGAGAGCTGTAGGCTGGGTCTGGGAGGTTGTGCTCACCTTGACGCGCACGACGGTGCCGAACGCTACCTCAAACCGCCATTCTGAACCTTTGCCGACGGTGATTTGCGTCGGCGGTGCGGGGACAAACTCCTTCTCCCCTGAGGGCTGTGTCAGGTCTAATCCCGGGAGAGACATGGCATTACTGTGCTGAGAAGATCAATGAGCGTAGAGATGGGTGTGCAAATTTCGTAGATTTAATAACACAGTAAGAACAAAGCCTGAAAGGAAGAACAAAGAATGGAAGAAAGAAAGTCACTTCGGAGACGTCAGGCGGAGAGAACCACCCGCCGATAACGATGTTTTGCTGGTTTGCAGCGGAGTCCAGCTCTACCCCACTGCCCCCTCCCTCGAACAACAGCCAATCTACAATCTGCAGAAAATAGAAAACATCGCTACTTATCAACATTCAAATTCCTGCATGTAGCGTCGTCTGCCAAATCTACCCTAACAATAGCACAACGCCCGAGTACAGTCCAGCCAAAGCCATCCGATTGCATCACGACACCAGGGGTCATTCCCGGCGCAAATGGTGTAGAAACGAAAAAAAAAAAAAGAAAAACCACATTATAGGGGCATATATCAGGTATCCAGGAAGAAGAGGGACAATGAAAAGGTGCAGGTAAAGAACGAAACGAACCCAAGGCTTTCTCTCTGATCTCCAGGACCTGTGCAGGCCAACCTCCCCCGCCTCAACGCACATCACTCGCAACCAAGAGGCACAGCATTAGTAAGGAACTAGACTGCTTCAAGTACGGTACACATCCAGATGACCATTGTTGAGAGAAAGAATCGTGATGGGCAAGGGAGTAATCGGCCAAAGCCCGAACTCGGAATTTGATCGAGGGTAGCAAAAGTGCACGGAAAGAGGCTTCTCGCAATCCTCGCATGGCAAAAGTCGTCTGGGACCATGGCAGTTGTGAACATACGATCATGGCTGATGAAGGTGTCGGTTACTACGGATGCGCGCGCAGGTTGACATCACGAACGATCTCGTGCGTCTTGGCTCCACTCGCGATTGAGAAATGTATTAAATTCTTTAGATGAAGAAGTAAGGAATTGAGGCGCTGGATAGTTCAGTTAGTAAGATGCGATGAAAGACCGGGGTTTCTAGAGGGGTACTAACGCAAGAGCAAAGGCAGCTGTAACACCAACAAGAGCACGATTCCGGACGCGCTCCTGCTTGAGCTTCTCTTCCAGGACCTTGGCGCGCTTTGTCCGGAGAGTGCGGGCTTCCTCCTCTTCCTCATCCTCGTCCTCGCTGAGAGCGTCAGTCTTGCGTTTCACGGCCGCCTTAGCTGAGGATGGCTCGGCGGTCTCTGCCTGGAGCTTGACAGCTTCTTCCACCATTTCCTTGGCCTTGGCGATCATCTGCTCGGTATCAGCTGCAGAGGGTGCTTCGGGAAGAGTAACTGGCAGCTCCACGGAGACGGTCGTCTGGGTAGTCTTGACATCATCGACGGTGTTGGCGGTGGTCTCAACGTCAACCTTGACCTTCTGTTCCTTTTCCTCCTCTTTGCGCTCCTCTTTTTGCTCCTCTTTCTGCTCTTCCTCGAAATCGCCCTCAGGAATGATCCGACGTGCAATCTTGGACGGTTTGGGCGTCTTCAACTTCCGAGGAGTGGGAGCCGGCTTCTGGTCGCTATCGACTTCCACGCTGGGCTGGATGGCTCTGATCACCGATTCGCTTTCCACGGTCGAAGCAGTCAAGTCGAGAGAAGACTGTAGGGTAGCATTTGCAGCGCTGGTGGCGGCAGCGTTCGCCTCCTTCATGGCTCGAGTTTGTCTGGGCTTTCTGGGGGAACTAGGTCTCTTGCTGGGGGAAGCCGAGCGTCCTCGTCTGAGACGGGTCGTGGAAGTGAGGAGAGTCGGGGCCTCGATAGGAGGCAGGTCGAACCTGGGAGGGGGCGTGATTTGCTTCTTTGCAGAGGAAGGGCTCTGGATAATCTCGGTGGGGTCAAGCAAGGCTCGGACCCAATCGTACATCTGATACTCCTTGGCGAGCTCAAGGGCTGAGGACCGGTATCAGAGCGGTAGGCCAGGGAATGTAAGGTGGTTCGAGAACTTACCAAGTACAGGAGAGATCCAGACGTTGCCGGCAATTTCGTCTTCACTCGTTTCAGACCGTGCTTTCAAGTACTCCCGCTCGGATCGTTCTTCGTCAAGCTTAGCCCAAGGGAAAGCGATCTTGAACATGCCAGTGGCGCTAACGTATCCATCTCTGCTACGACGCTGGAAGGGACAAAGGAATCCACCCCGTTAACCATGGTTCCGTGACGTTCCGCGATTCCGAAAGGCTAAGGGCCTGGAAGGACGCGACTTACCATCAAGAAGTACGTCTCCGGGTGTTGTTGAGGAGCATGTGAGGGGAAGATTTCAGATCCTTTGAGATCACTGGGCAGGGGAGCGCGCAAGTGGGCATATTCAAAAGGGCCGAGGTTCTCTGGTTTGGTCGCATTGGAGGTGCCGATCTGGGTGGGCTTGACGGCAAGATTGGTCTTTCCCAAGCGACGGCGCGCAAGAAGTTCTTCATCTGTCATCGCACAAGCACGAAGCAAGGTGCGTGTTAGTCTGGCGCGACCTCAGATCGGAGTGGAGGAGATAGAGCGATGGTTGAGATTGGAATCGACGCTGCTGATGCAGGGGCACAACTTACAAGCAGGCGCTT